AGTGCAAAGAAGGGATTGTATCTATTATACATTGGACATTCCAAGTCAACCTGCAGTTTTCTAATTATTTTATTTATTAATCTCATGAGCTCATCAACAAGTAAGTTTCATAAGAATGAGTGAAGGCAACTAACACTCAACGAATGGGAACAGCATAATATATAAGGGTAATCTTACATAAAAAGAGGTCTTCTGCACGTGGACTGAAGGAAGACCATGCCAACAGCGAGGGCAGAGAGGCTCAAAGCATAGTGCCCTGCCAACCAACACGCTGTGGGTACTGCTGTGCCAGGTCATGCCTTGCAGTTATGAACATGAGCGTTCATTCATATTTGTAAGCGTTACAAAATCAGTCCTTTGTGCATGACCTCTGTTTTGAAACCGCTGCTTAGCCAGAACAATACCCTATCAAAGGTAAACTAGACTTCAGCCTTGCTCGCTGACCTCCTTATAAAATGAAATATTACGTGCACAACTTCTGCCCTAACCCCCTGACAATATTATGCTTCCTTCCCATTTTCTTCAGAAAGTTGTTGCTCTTACGAGCTCAATATCACCAACACGTTGTTTTTTATTTCTTACAGTTAACTTTAAAAAAAAAGTTGTATATGACTATAATCTCCTGCTTGAGGGCTTTTGCAAAATCTGGAAATGGAAATACTGTAAAAGAACAAAGTCAAAGTCACTAAAGACATTCTTCTTACCTAACCTAATTACCTCTTATCTCAGTCCAACACAAGAAACAAAAGCAGAAAGGAACATACATAATGTGGTAATATAGTCAGCTGACAACTGATTCATGTGTATTTTGGAAATAAAAACACATTTTAGATTTTTGGATTGCGAGTACATGTGGGATAAAATAAATATTTCCAGCAACTCTGAAATTCATTTCAGCACTGCAGCTGCCCCATACTGGAGGTGATGCACCATCTTTGCTGGGACAGTTAAGACTGCAAATAGCAACCCCACATGGCTAAAAATGATCAAATGCACAACGTTTGCTTGAAGAAAAGGAGTAAATGGCTCTGAACGAACAGATCAACATGAACTCAAATATCACAATACAAATTCTCCATTAATTCTTTTCATTCTTATTTTTAAGGTAAAAAAAAAAAAACATTACTGAGAACAGACAATAAAAGTCTTCCACTCCATGCCAAGAAGGATGTGGTGTTCCATGACATCTAATCTGGCCCAGTGTCAGGCTGTAACCTAAAGGGATGCAAATCTGCTTGTGCCTACCAATTCCCACCCCTCTTCATGTCAGATTTAGCAATGATTACCTGTATGGAAAGTCAATTAAGCTCACTGCTTTGACGGAAAACTAACCCATCATTACGTTAGTTAGCTATTTGTTTTCCACAGAATCAACTGAGTCGAACAAACTCATCCTGTGACCAGAAAATCACTAGACCCAGTACAGGGGAAAAGCAGCAAGAACGTGCAGCAGAGACATCCAGGAGACCACGTCTACCCCCTTTAACGGCAGCCTTGAATTAGACCAGCTTCGGTGCACCATAAAACCAATCCCTGAATTCTCGCCCACCAGCAATGCACACTGAGCAGCCAGTTCCTGACAGCACGTGCCAGAGACACCTAAAGATACCATCCTCCAGGAGTGACAGTTAAAGATACCAACCTCCTGGTGTCCTTCCCCAGGACAAACCTTACAAACAGCTTTCCTACAAGAAACCAACTAGCAAGGCTCAGCTGCCTCTGCGGCACTCCAAAGTGTCATGCAGCCCCAGGGGACCTCCACAGAGTAAAAGTAACACCCAGCAGACTCACTTTTTCACAATAGCCTCCTTTATGCAAATCCATGAAAATTCTTTCGACGCCAATATCATCCCCAGTACGTAACACAATTTTAGCTTGGGCTTACAACTCCTAATCTCATGACTATCTCCAGTTATCTCCCTTCTGTGGAATCATCTGTGGACAACGTAGCTCTGCACTTTACTGTCTCATAAATCAGAACTGGTACTCCTTTCCTTGGCTTCTTCAGGCCTCTTTGCTCCATGCCCTGTTAGCTGGGACAGGAGCTGGAAGCAGTCTTACTCTTGTTAGTGTAATAAGTTTCCTAGGGCTAAAGCAGAATGCAATGTAAATATGCTTGATAGCTCCCTATGCCGCTGATGGTGGAGTGCTTAGGGGCTCCCATAATACTGTAAAGGCATAATTATTATTCTTAACATAATATCATGCTGAGTTTGACATGGTGTGTGGGTGGCAAGTGGCTGTGGAGACCACTGAACTATAATGATTATTTCTTTCATGCTGCATAAATTTTTAATTTTAAACCACTAAAGAATACACAATATCTTATTAGTCAGCTGCATTCATCACAAACCTTCTGAATTATTCTTGTATACAACTAACAAAGATGGCTGATAACAGTTAAGCCTGGTAACGGTGGGCAGGATGCTCTGCCCACATGGATAAGCTGCCAGGATAACGTTCCTCCTCAGACACAGAGGCAAGGAAAACGGGCTGGGCAGGCCATGACGTACCTCCACCCAGGAACAGCAACCAAATCTGTATTCCTGACGGCACTTTGTGTAAGCAGCTCGTAACAACTTTTAAGGGAGGAGATCCCACACTCCTCAAGCAGTCCATTCCAGGGTGCCACCTCCTCCCCAACCAGAGGTTTTCCTAACGCCTACCCTAAATCTTCCTTGCCGTGACTTAAGCCGTTACGTTTTTCTAGCTTGAGTGGACACGGTGAACGCTTTACTGCCTCCTTCTTTGCAGCTACCTCAGATACGTTTGAATATTGTTACGGTATCTTCCTCTGTCTTTCCTTCTCTAGACTAAACCATTAATGGATATAACTGGATCGACAACACTGAAATGTCACGAGTCAGAAAAGCAGTAAGCGAAAGTAACTCAGCAGTCGTCCAAGCTGCTATACTGCATTGCTATGGGATAATTCATGGAAAAAGTCACGCTGCCAACTCCTGAAAACTAGGTTTCAATTCTGATCTGATTTTAAGCAGAGTCTTTACTATAGAAGTGCACTAAACCCAGAAGGCGAATAAAAAACATTTAAAGCTGCTACCAGATCTTAGCATCAAACTCAGGACTTGTGCCTTCTGGCACAAAGTGGCTAGGGCTCTCATTTTTAGTAGCCCATATATTTTGACAGTTTCATTACCAAACGGACATGAAGATGAAAGCAATACCTCTGTTTGATCAGTTAACCTGAAGGCATTCACTTGTTGCAACATCTGTACCATTGAGGAGATATTTGCAACCTGCCAAAGAGTTCATTTCATCAGTTTTAAAGAAAAAAAGAAAAAAGGATGAGCAAAATACTGCAGGAATGACTGTTGCAAGAAAGTCGAGAATAAAGCGTACATGTAGTCACTGTGCCTGTGCAACCCCAGAGACCCAGGCAGGGATATTTCCAAAGAAGGGGATGTGGTTTCTCAAGCAATCTCATTTATTACGCTCTAAATCCCAGAAGAGTAAGTGGCCATCCACCAGGCACAGGGATATCCAGTGCAGTTCTGTGCAGCTGTGAGAGACCAAGAAAACGAGCAAACTGCACACCCTAAAAGCAACGGCAACAAACTGAGAATTACAGGCACAGAATTAGGGCCGTGTAAGTAAAAATGACTCACACAGACCATTTCTACAAGTGAAAGAGCATGGTCTATCCAGAATACGTGGGCTTGGCACACAGTGCTTCCTCAGGATGAGCAAAGGACGCATTGAAAATAGCAGTCAGGAAAATATTTCCCTCCAAAAATATTATTTATAAGTGGGAGTGGGTTTTCCCCCCTATCTCTTCCGGCCAGGCTGGTGTCTTTCCCACTTACTTCAGCTAACCGGGAGTGTTTGTGCACCACCTCGGCTTTGTTCATCGGCGTTAGCTGCTGCAGAACGCTGCGACTGTTCGTCAGGGCTCGCGTCAACCGAGCAAACTTCGTCCAACCTGCAAGAAACAAGGAAATCGGGTCAGAAGTACCTACCCCTCATGCATTCCTAGTAAATCTCCTTTGTATTCACTCATATTAAGCCTCGGATATGAGTAGTTTCTCTTTAAATCGCTGCACAGAACAGCTTTAGGCTCCAGTCTTAAAGATCTTGCCAAAGAGGAAAAATACCACTGCTTCAAGGCAACTAAGCGTAAACCTGAGCAAAATCAAAATGCTCTGGCTTGATCTTTCTTCTGCATTTTGGAGACACTGTCAGAGGAATCACATTGTGCTTTCAACCTTCTGGGGAACTACTCCACTGCTGAAGGCTAATTCTAAACCACTGAAGTTAATGTAAAGGCTCCCACTCAACTCCAAGGCTGCAAGTCCGGCAGAAGTCACATCCTGCCCAACGGCAGAACAGCTATGGCTGATTCAGGGCCGCAGGAGCAGGCCCCAAAGTCCTATCCTTAATTCCTTACCGGTTCTTGCTTCACCTGGAATTTCAGGAACAAAACTAAAAATCATATAAAAAAAAATCTGAACAACAATCAGACTAAAAAAAAAAGTAAGATTTTAAAGACAGATTAAGCATGAGTTTTTAAAAGGCATTAAGAAATACACTTAGTCATTAAACTAATGATAAACATTTGCCTTAACAGTAGCTTGAAACCCACACACGGGGCCACCCCTGGGGAATTTTTCTTCAACATTCAGAAAGGAGCAAACACAGTTTATTACCGACAGCAGTGCAAACCTGGAAACGTGTCATTAAGTCATTTCTATTGGAAAAACGCCCGTGTGTGACAGCTGGTGCGTATGCGTCAATGGATGAGGTAGATCAGTGGCAACAAAGAAAAGGTTGGGGTTTGAAGCAACACAGCACCTCAGGGTTAACCAGCAAAATTAAAAATTCGTACACTCGCACAAAGGAAACACCTCCCCATGAGCACTAAAGTATATTTTCTTTCATGACTTTAATCCTTGTTTCAGCATGAGCTTTTCTGCACTGTGGTATTTCCCACAAATTCCACCTGCTCAACATGCAGTTTAGGCAACTTGACATATATATTCTATACACACACACACACACACACACACACTTCAGTACAGAGCGAGAGAATTCAATATACACATGGTAAACTATCAAACGTGCTATGGACAGGTAAGAAACTCAGGTGCAGGTTTTACTCTTACCTAACTTGAATGCTGAGCAGGTGAAAATTGTGGGGAAAGGTCATATTTGAGAAAAAACAACATTTCTATGTTACCTTAGTTTATTTTTAAATGTCTATTGCCTAATAGGAGCCAGGGACTTGGAAAGTTAGGGGAGGCCCTAGGATAGATAAAATAAAGGGCAGAGAGCAGACAAGACACTAAACCTGCAAGAAAAAAATCATTTATCGCTTAGCTTTGCAACTTACTACATAGATATCACGTTCATACAAATATAAATCCATTGTCCATCATTCACAATCAGAACAGATCTGAATATCGTAATACATTACCAGCACAGCACAAACCATTCATATCTGACTACTTAAGTATCGCTATCTCAAAAATACACAGTAAAATGCACTGTGAAAAGATAAAAAAGTAAAATACTTCATTCACTTTTCAAATCCAAACCTTAAATGTGAATTTCTCATATGCTCACAGGGCTATTCAATTAGGAATATGCACTTTCTGTATTAAATAATGCCAAACTACAGTGATCCAAGTATGACCTATTATCTTGCGGTTTTCTTTCTCCTAATCATCTTATAAAACTCTGCCAAGGAGGGAGCAGCAAGAATTAGTTTACAAATAAAAGTCAGAAGTACTTTATCTTTCTCAAGCAGCGATTTCAAAGAGCAAGTGAGCATGGCAACACCGTTGCGGCAGCTCGGCCCAGACGTTTCTCCTAATTGCTGGAGGCCACAAAGCATCAGGCCGACCGCTTTCGGCACACAGCGATCACGCTGCAGGAACTGGAGACGGAGAGCAGCCGTACGTGAGGCGATGTCTCACCTGCATAGCCCAGGCAGCTACCTACACACACACACACACACACACACACCCCTTCCCTGTGGTCCAGGGGGACGGGTTCGGGCCAGTCCTCGAGCTCCAGTTTGTTACCCTTATGACAGGAACGGGGAGGTCACCAGCAAAGCCAAAACTACAGGCAAACTTCTGGATTAATCCAGAACACCTTCACTTGCCAGATCTCAGCTCTGCCAGCTATGCAGACCTTTCTGACGGCAGGGGTTGTTCAGTCAAGGTTTACTTTATTTCCTGAAGTTTTGGTCACTGAGCTGTACACTGATCAGGTGAAGATTTGGACAAAAGTTGGGTGCTGGCGATGGCAGGAGATGGCCTCTCGCAACCCCTTCCCACAGTGCTTCACAGGCTGAGGGACTGCACTCACAGAAATGCGTGTTGTTTTAAAAACACTTCTCCTCTTATAAAAGCAAAACTGGTGAGAATTCCCTTAATATCAGGTAAGAAAAGCATGTGTTCTGCATTCACCACAAATAAATAAAGCCTGGGGAAGTTGGGGAAGATACCGTAAGGTGTTGGAAGGACAGGTTCCAAACAACAGTGACCCTTTTTCTGTTAAAAAAAAAGAAAAAAAAGAAAAAAGAAAAGAAAAAAAGAATGGAAGAACTATGACTTCTTCAAATACTTCTTTTCCATCTTGGTAAGATCACCAATGTCATATGAAAGAAAGATGCCACATGTTTTAACATTCAGAGTTACCACTCTGCTTATCTGGTCTGACCCCTTCTTCTCACAGGGCAAACCCTTTCATCATGTCTTTTCTGCACCAAGACTAAGGCTCTCGGTTAGGCTAGAAACCAACCTCTTGCCTTCTACAAAAACCTTTCCAGCCTCATTAGAGACTTCACATTTTTACATTTATTTCTGCCGTGTGAAGCCAATGACTCTGGCTGTTGGAAGTGCAGAATAGGCTAACGTGACCTTATTCTAATTCAGCACAAAGTCCAGCATTATTCTGCCTACTCCAATCTATCTGTCTGCAACAGCATGAAAAAACACCAAGTTCTTTTGTTTCCCATTTGCAGCCCAACAGAATTAAAGACATAGCAACAGCAAGGTGCTGAAGTATGAGTGGGAAGGTGAAAATGAATACAGGCTGCCTTGCGTCTTAAATAATCCGCACAGGGTACATTTCTGTGTTTCTTGACCTTGTTGTAGACTAGCTAAGTTCAGAATTATATTTAAAACCAATTTGTATGTTTAAATAGACCAGGCACGATTTGCATAGCTGCCTACTGCTGTCGATGTTTCTTCAGACGATACCCTCCTTTCTCTTCCTCTATACATGTATTAGCGACCTCCTGTCCCCATAGATATTTTCAGTTCAGAAGGAGTAAAGGAGCTGCACAAATAGCAGGTGTAAGAGGGAGAAAAGCTACTTGTAAGGAAAAAGCAACACTTCTGATGCTCTCTTCAACTCAGCTGGATTGTGTCTTTCTTCCGTGGCATCACTTGAAAAATAATACCCTGAACTTGCACAGTTGCATTCAAATTCTTAAGAACAAAGACAACACGGCACCAGATCACACCAGCAGCTGCTTCTGTTTGAAAAAAAGCCAGACTGGGTATTTCAACAAGAAATGAACTACCCTGAATGGAAAATTCTGCAATCACATACACATTTTTTTTCTCCTATCTCTCTTTAATTACTTTCTAATTCATAGACAAAATAGAGTAATTCACACTCCAGCCTTTCAAATAACTCACATGATGCATGTTCATTCCATGACCCAAACTAAGGATCTGTCACTGAACAGGAACCTAGCAGTGTACTTCCTTGTTCCTGATCATTACTCAAATTAACTTCTTTACCTACTCAGGAATGCAAAAATGCAGATTTAACAACTCCATACAGTTGTGAAGACATGACATGAACAAGAAGACCAATATGCCAATGAAAGATAAGTTTACTTTGAAGTACACTCTTCTCTGCCTTGGCCCAGCTGTACTGTTTTCCTTCCAAGCTGCAGCTTGCTCTCAGCCCCATGGCTTCAGTCCTTTAGCCATGTGCTTGAGGGAGCGCAGGACGTAAAGGGTTGTAGACACCAGTCAAGTGAAGCAGGCAGAGAGCTCGAACACCTTCTGGCCTTTGGGTGAGGGGGAAAGCTTTTGCAGATGGGTCCAGCATGCTCACTCAACCACCCTCTAGATGCCTACAACACTACAGAAATGATGTGGTACTTGAGGAGGAGACAGTATTTCCAGCTTTCTTCTTAATGAGCCCATATGCAAGGTAAGATACCTTGCAAAGGAGTAATATGTTAATCCCCTTAGTCCTTCCTATAGTCCTTCCACAGTCAGAAAGTCCAGGCTGCTTTTTACCTGAATCCTATTACTCACTATAGTGCATGCCTTTATCAGCTACCACTCTAACAAGAGTAGTGTTACGCCCACACTTCTTTCTCCCTGAGATGTTGAATCAATCACTGTGGTTTACATTGGACAGATGGCATGGGAACAACCTTGTGGCAGCTGCTCTCGTGACAGCTCTGCTCCACCGCCGTACGCTGTAGTCTGGGACCTTCTGCTGCTGCATTCTTGCATTGCCATAGGGGCTTCTCTCCCTGCCCCTCTGGCCACCAATTTTCTTCCCATTAATACACTCCACAGATCAATTCAGTACACAAGCACTCTCGTCCATCTCTAACAGACACAGTTCTTCTCTACTCTGTTCAGTAAGTTAGGAAAATTTCATCTACGTTGAAGACCTACAGTATATGGCAGAGCATGAAAAGGACCAAGGTAAAAGCTGTCCAAAAGAAGAGCAGCAAAGGAAGCTGCCTCAAGCACTCTGCCTTTGGACATGGCAGCCTAAGGTTCATGAACCATATTATATTAGTTTAAAGCTAAATTTATATGTCAGAGTTTATGAAGAGTTTACAAATCTCAAGGCAAGATGTTAATGTTGTTTAGAGTGCACTTGCTCTGAAAAATCTAGACTTGACTAGGTGTCCCTAATAAAACATTAGTGTGACCC